ACCATAGAAGCAGATAAAAACACGCAAGCAGACTGAATAAACATGCAGATGAAGATTTGGTTCGTACAACAAATGCAAACCAAGTTCGGTACATTGGGAGCTTATGGGGAGAAAGAGAGGAAAATATACCTCATTGATTGCACAATCTATTTGTAAATACTCTCTTGGCGTGCCATTAAAATCTTGAAATGCTCTATAATTTTAGGCACAGAGTCAATTGGTACAGAAAAACTCAACCCAACAGTAGCCATCATTTTCATGAGGCTCACACCAATAACTTCTCCGTCCATGTTGACAAGAGGTCCTCCAGAATTTCCCTATACCATAGAAGCAGATAAAAACACGCAAGCAGACTGAATAAACATGCACATGAAGATTTGGTCCGTACAACAAATGCAAACCAAGTTGGGTACATTGGGAGCTTATGGGGAGAAAGAGAGGAAAATATACCTCATTGATTGCACAATCTGTTTGTAAATACTCTCTTGGCGTGCCATTAAAACCCAAATCACTACTTTTCCGGTCAACACAACTGTGCGAAAATCATACAAGACATAAATTTCATTAGTCAAAAAGAAAACCAGGAGCCTCTTTTTAAAACTGACACACACTTAACCCATTTAACTTTCATCTCAGAATGTAAAACATTCTTTTCTGAAAGTAACATAACACAAATGACAAGCTGACAATATTTTACAACAAATTACATCCTATTTTCTAATGCATATGGAATAAAAATAATAAGGATAAAATCAATAACATGCCCATTTTTCTTGAAATGCTCTATAATTTTAGGCACATAGTCGATTGGTACAGAAAAACTCAACCCAACAGCAGCCATCATTTTCATGAGGTTCACACCAATAATTTCTCCGTCCATGTTGACAAGAGGTCCTCCAGAATTTCCCTATACCATAGAAGCAGATAAAAACACGCAAGCAGACTGAATAAACATGCAGATGAAGATTTGGTCCGTACAACAAATGCAAACCAAGTTGGGTACATTGGGAGCTTACGGGGAGAAAGAGAGGAAAATATACCTCATTGATTGCACAATCTGTTTGTAAATACTCTCTTGGCGTGCCATTAAAACCCAAATCACTACTTTTCCGGTCAACACAACTATGCGAAAATCATACAAGACATAAATTTCATTAGTCAAAAAGAAAACCAGGAGCCCCTTTTTAAAACTTAATAAGCTTCATGGTCAAATAATAAGTTACTGCGCCAAACAACCATATAGCTTTAGCTTCCAAAATCTATTATATGAGATGGCAAAGTTTAAAACAAAAGAAAAAAGCTTAAAACAATGACCCATCTATTATTGTCTGAAATTTTTTCTTCACACCTTACAATGCCCAAAGTGACAGTATTCTGAAGGAAATGCGGACAGGACATGGCTATTACCAAATCCCCAGGACGAAGCGTACTTGAAGAACCAAGTTTTGCTTCTGGTAGTGGGGTTTCAGAATTGATCTTCACAATAGCAATATCTGAATGCATATCAGCATTTACCACTTTACCGTCCAATCTCCTTCCATCTTGTAACCTGTACAATCAACCATTGGTTGTAAGACCCAAAAATGAGTGTCCATAGTCATACTTTGTCATATATACATCTGATGTCTTCATGGAGCCAAAATAGTGAAGAAAATAAAAAATAAAAAATAAAAACCACTCCCCGTTAAACCCGACTAGCGAGTGTGGGATGGAGGAAATCTTTGTACGCAGCCCTACCATTACATAATTGCAAAGAGGCTGTTTACTGGATTCGAACCCATAACTTTTAAGTCATGAAAGAATAGTTTTATGAAATAATTTTTCATAAAAAGTTCAATTAAAGAATTGATTTTAAAAAGCAATTCAATTCAAGAATTAATTTTTGAAAACCAATTTTTTATATGTAAATTTCAGCGGGCTAAAAGATAAGATAAAGGAATGTACGTATGCAGTATATATATCTGAATGAAAAATTTTACCTGATTAATCAAAGAAATCATAGTCGATGAAGATTTATAATAGCCATCGTCAACATCAGAGCAAAGCATAACAGAAAAGGCGAAGAGATATAAGACATCATCAACGATTTCCATCTCACAAGACCTACAACGATTGCCTCGCGCATGGATCTGGCGGAGAAAGGACAACACAGTAAACTTAAACAATAAAAAAATTGCCTTAAAAAGAACTGATGAAACCAACAACAAAGATGAGTACCGATATGAGAAGAAAGAAAGAAAAGAACTAATAAAATTCACCTTAGCAACATGTATTATGCTGTTGTCACAGCCAATTAAGACACGCCAAGTCCCTCACTCACAGTCATCGGCGGGAGTGCGAGAAGCTTGCTGAGCACGATTCTCGCAATTACAAAATCACACTCTCACACTCTCATTCTTCTCTGTTTCCTAAATCCCAAAAAAAAAAAAAAAAAAAACCCTAACCCAATGGAAGACGAGGAACCTCACTCTCACTCTCAGCGTGCTTCACTCCCACCCGGTTGCCGGTTCTACCCCTCGGAAGAGCTTCTCCTCCGCTACTATCTAACCAACAAGAACGCGAACCGTGATGGGGATTTCTACGGTTCTGATTTGATCACTGAACTGGACCTATACAATCACGACCCCTGCGAATTGCACAACGCTGCCTGCTTTTCGTACGGTTATCGAGGAAGTAAGAGCCATTGGTACTGTTATACGGTTAGGGTTGTGAAGGACACAAGGCGCGTGAGAAGGAAAGTGAAGACCGGGTTCTGGCTCAGGAAAGGAAGGGCTAAGGACCGGGTGTTTATCAACCGATTCATCGAACCGAAAAATCGATAACCGAATAAACCGAAAATTGAAAAATCGAAAACCGAAAGAAAACCGTAAATTTTAATTGGATTGGATCGGTTTTTGGATGGGTTGATGAAAACCGATCCAATCTATTAATTATTCTCTACCTACGTGTCATTTCTCTAATCATAGCCCAAAAATTTCTAAACTCAATATTCATTAACTCATCAACTAAACCCAAAAAAAAAACTTAGTCACGTCTCATCAACTATTGTATTGTTTACTGTTATTTTTGTATTTCAAATTTTTTTTTTTTACAAAGCTAATATATACAAAAGATGTTATTTGCACAATCATCTTGAAACTAATTTTAGGATATTCAAAAAACCGAAAATCAATCCAATCCAAACCGAAAAAAATTGGATTGGATCGGATCGGATTTGAAAAAAAATCTAAACCGAATGGATGATTACATGATCAAACCGAAGGGATTGGATCGGATGAGTTTTGCTTCCAAAATCGATTCAATCCAGACCGCGAACACCCCCTACTATACAATCACGCAAGTAACCTTTAAAATCACGCAAGTAAATAGTGTAAAATATGATTTATAAGAGTTTGTAAATAAAATGTTGGTAAATATAACTCTTTTATATATATAACTATATTTTTTTATTTCTGTTAATTGGTATTTCTTTGCTATTGGTTCATTTTCCAGAAGGAAAATTAGTTTTATCAAATATTATTTTTAATTATTTCTATTTTTTATACTAAAAATTTGAAAACGTTACTACAGACACTCTTAGCTATGTGCATCATTGTCCACGGGTTAAATACTATTTGTTTTATCATCAAGGACTAATCGGTGTGAGGTTGTTTTAATTTAACTATGCAAAAATGTGTATCATTATAAAGGAAGTAAAGTTGTGTCATTAAAGAAAGAAATAAATTATGAAAGAGAGTTGACAAAAAAAAATATGAATCTCACCTCTTTATGAGAGTGAAATGACATAAGTTGTGTTATTTAAAAGGACAAATATTTTTCCCTTTAACTATTGATCTTGAGTTTCAATTTTAGGAGGTGTATTGGATTAGGATTTTAAAATACATTTTTTAATATAAAAATTCCTACAAATTTTAAAAGACATTTTAGAATTGGAGACACTTTAAAGATTTTTTTTATAATCAAGATTTCATAAGATTGGATTTTAAAAGATTTTAATATAATTTATAAGATTTGTAAGGACAATATGGATTTATAAGATTTTAAAAAACCATACGAATTTTTAACAAACATTCAAAATTACAAGAGTCAATACAAAAGGGAAAGGTTATAGTTACAACCTATTTTTGTTTACAACATTTTACAATCATATCTTAACTATTGATTTTCGTCAATCAACGGTTATCATTCATTGCAAATTAAATATTAATTAATGAGTTTGATTTGCGAAAATAATAACCACTGATTGACGAAAATCAACGATTAAGATATAGTTGTAAAAGGTTATAAACAAAAATAGGTTGTAAGTATAATCTTCCCCATAAAAAATAACAAAGAAATGCAATGAAATTAATACAAAAAAGTAAAACCTAATATAATTTTCTCAATCAATAAAATATAATATGATTTTTAACAAACGTTCAAAATTACTAAACAACAGCTTTTCACATATCTAATGGGTTGAAAATTATCTTCTTCATTTGGTATCAAAGCTATGCATATATGATTGTAAGACCAAATTTTTTTAATTATAAAATTAATTCTAAATTTGCATATAGAACCTAAAGTTCATGATAAAATTTTGTTTGGAATTTTTTGCAATTAATCTTGAAAACCTTGGGGTTTTTGGAATTTTCTAAACATATATCATATGCATATTTTCATTGAATATTCTAAGAAAATTTCGAATATGAAATTTTGGGTTTAATTACATGAAAGTTTAGAAAATTTCTCAAAATTTTTTCAATCGATACATTGAACCTTAAATTGCTTTGGGGTTTTTGAGAAACAAGTTTTTAGTTATCTATTGACACAAAAATTGTTTGAAATCATTTCCTATAGTGAAGGAATTTCGTTCATGAATGTATTGTTACAAAAGTTTCAATCTTTCTTTAAATTGATATTGTTTCATTGATGTAAAACGAAAATTGGTTTGAGGGTTTTAGTTTTCCTTTTATTTTTTCAGTGTTTAATGTTGTTTTATGTACTCATTGTTTAGTTTAAAGATATTGTCATATGTTCTATTTTTGTCAGAGCAAATAATATTAATTATCACCTAGTTCGCTATATGTAAGAACTTGCACCGTTAATTAAGGAATTTAATTAATTAATTATGTGAAATTAGGAAATAATTCTATAATTGACCCTAATAATTATTATTAGGCTTAAATAAACATAGAAAGTAGTTAATAATGCTGAAAGTCGCTTTTCGGACGAAAAGCGCAGATACCGGTTCTGCTACTCGGTATAAATGCGTACCGAAAAGGTATCCCGAAAAATTATAAAAAGTACATGATAATTACTAAAATAATATATAGGACTTGTAAAACAAGTTTCAAGTTAAAAATGATGAGAACTAGTATCAGAACTGATACTGGCTATGGAAAAGTGCGTACCGGAAAGGTGCTCCGAAAAATAAAATAAAAATATGAAAAATCTTAGAAAAATGAGTAGGTTCAGATTCCAAAGTTTGGGATTAAAATGTTAAGCGTAGCGATTAGCGCTAATATAGCGCGATTAAAACGTAAGTGATTATAAATAGCTAAATGACACATGATCCTAGGTCATTTGTGCCATCCTACGTGAACCATTTTGCTGGAGCTGCTGCCTCCATCAGCCACCACCTCTCCTTCATCCTTCTTTGAGCCAAAGTGATATCTTTTGCTTGATTCTTCTCTTCTTTCCCTTGGTAAACACTAGTGAGCATCATTGTGAGGGGGAGAGGTAGCATTTTCTGAGTTGTGACCTCTGTTTTGGTGGAGTCTAGGGGCTGAGTTGGGTGTTTGGGTTGAGGGCTACCTAGCATGGGTGTTTTGAGCTCCAAGTGTTGAACTTTGTGGTGAAAGGGTCAACCTTGCTTCACATTTTCGTGTTCCGTCTAACCTGCACCATGGGAGCTTCATAGTGAGCTCCAAGAGCCTTTGTTGCTTCTGTTTTGAAGCCTTGGGTAAGTTCCCTACCTTAATCATGAGTTTAATGGGTTAAATTTGATGTCTTGGTATGCTTAATGAGTTAAACAAGCAACCCACTGGTATGTGGACCTAAAACAGAATTAAAATGCATGCTTTAACGTTTAGAAGTGTTAAAAATGGAACCTTGGATGGATATCTTCGCGAAATGCAGAAATTGCATTCTGTCGCGAAATATCCGGATATGATATCTGGATATGTGATATCCGGATGTGATATCCGGATATGGGGTCTCTGATATCCGGATATGCCCCCGACAAATATTCGGATATTCTGGGTTGGCGAAGAACAGTAACTGCATTGTTCATACAGAAGGCTTTTGGGGGGTTTGTGGACCCTAGAATGATGAAGTTGAGCTTCTGTAATAATTAATGTAAGTTAGAATCAAGTGATTAAAGGCTTGTGGCTTTGTGAGAAGCCTTAAGACGTAAAATGTAAAGAAATGGCGTTGTCTTTAAATCGTATGCTTGTTGTGCATAAATATTGATAATATTGTTGGCCCAAACAGATTGTGATCTTGTTGTTTGTGGACTCTGAGGTATTGTGGACTCTTGGCTTGGATAGCTAGCTTCCAAGGTAAGCTTTCGTGTCCTCGGTTTAGCCACTGTTGGTTCCACCATGTCCCATGAGGTATGATATATATGCATGATGTTGTTTTCATGATATACTGTTTATTCAAATGTTATGGAGCTGTTAAGTGCAATTGCTTTATGATATGTATGTGGTGTTATGCCTACACAGGAGGCCATGGGGCGATCCTGTGGGCGGATACAACATGGGCTGGTACAACATGGGCTGATATCGTGTGGGTAATAGACGTATTCCTACACTTCTCTGATCAGTAGAATTGTATAAACACACATGACATGATTATCTGTTGTATTGCACTGTTTTGGAACTTATACTGTTAAATTGTTTTTGGAACTTATATTGCACATGTAAGTGAGCTTGGGGCGGATGATCCTTGAGGACCCCTTGTCTTACTGAGATTTCTTTTTAGAGATCTCACCCCACGTTTGGGGCACCATTTGCAGGTTCAGGTAACTCGGGGGTTGAGACCTCAGGCGGCAGGAAGCCGTAGCTGAGTTAGATATTGCTGTTTATATGCTGACAAGTTGGATGCTAGATATGTCTGTTGCTTTTATGTTGTTAGCTTCATGTTATGGTTATATTGAGACTGATGTTGGGCTTTGTTGCCTCTTTTGAGTGAGCATGGGGATTGTCCATGCCACATTGACTTGACTTTATGCTTTTAGTTTTGGTGTTGTAATTTATAATGTATCAGGATATTGTCCGGATTACGGGTTGTAGATCCGTGACTTAGATACTCACGTTATTTATATATTGAGGTATTCAATTAGTTGTCTTGCAATACTTATATACATGCGATGTTTTATGAAATTGATTAATAAGCAAGTTGGTAATGATTAATGACATCATAATTGAAAAAAAAAAAAAGATATTCCGCATTTTTAAATTAAGCGTAGCTTAATACGATGATATGATAACATACCAGATATATACGGGATGTTACATTTTATAGTATCAGAGCACTTTCTAAGGAAAAGCCTGTATGTATTGCAATAACTAAGATGTTTGGTTGTGCCTGTCTTGTGTGTTTGCTCCATTGGATTTTATGATGATGATGCGTATGTGGATCACATTGCATGGGCCTGATCAACTCATAATTTGTGTAACTTGTACAGAGTCATGGTAAATTCCCAGAAAAACATGAGAGACTGTTGAGGGTCAACCCGACCCAATCCTGACTGCATTGGTTGAGATGCAGGAGGCCGCTAGATTGGCCAACGTGGCAATGATGGACGTTGTTAAGGAAGCGAACCAGAAGGCCACAGAGGATGTTCTTGAGGCGAACCGTTTGGCGAACATGGCCATGATGAGAGTCATGTTAGAGGAGATGAGGGCTGGTCCTGCTGTTGGTCAGTTCCCTCCGCCACCACCTCCACCGCCACCACCATCGCCTCCACCTCCACATAGTCTACAGGAGGAGAGCCAAAGCCATGTTGGGGGCACTGGTCATACTACCGGGGTGATGGAGCCCTATGTGGTGTCGGTTGAGGATCGTGATGTGATTGATCGTCGGCTGAATGCTTTCCGTAAGCATAAGCCATCTTCTTTTGATGGGTCTTATTAAATTTTTATTCTCAATTTTGCCTTTTAATATTAGCACTAGGTTTAAGTAAACAAAACTTTCAACTAAACACGTTTAATAAGCTTAAAACACGTTTAATAAGGATATGTTTGGATACCTAATGATATCATACTATTGTTTGGATATTTCATAATGGAACAGAATAAAAAGTCCATTCCAATGTTTGGAAAATGGATGGAATGGCAGGAGCAATATCTTTATTAGAATGGTTTCATCTTATCCCCTCAACTTGGGAGGAAAGAAAAAGAAGGTAATGGATGGAATGGAACAAATTCCATCATGTTCACGTTGCATTCCCCTCCATTCCCCAGCATTCCATTCCTTTTCATCAATCCAAATATAGCCCAAGGACTCCAAAGAGACATCAAATTATAGTCCAATTGTATTTTCTACCAAATCATCTCACTTCAAAAGCAAAATTAGAATAAAAATTAAATAATAATATACAAAATATCACAATACCACATTCATGTTTTCGACAGGGTTCCCATCAAATTCAACGACAACATCGCCTGGACGGAACCCAGAATAATCACTAGGGGACCCGGGAGTTGCCTAGTCAAAAACTTTCAAGTCATCTAATTTCAAGAATTCTAAGGGTTGCCTTGCATTAGTGAACGCAGTGCATATTATTCCAGAAAAGAAACAATTCCATGCAGAGGATAATTACAATGAATAACATAAATTAAGAAAAACCAAATCAAATAGAGAATTGCACATTTGCCACATGATCAGAAAGTGCAGGAAGTGGCCTCTATTAGTCTTTCCATTCTTTAACTTCTTCATTAACAAATTAAGCATTTTATAGCTCATGGTTTCTCGGTTTTCTAGGTTCTTATTTCCTAGTTTTCTAGTTTACTAATCCATTATCATTCACAAATACACAACATCCATCCCTAATTCTGGATCCACAAAGAGCCATTGTTCAAGAAAGCAGCCTGCTACATATAACAAGCTTGTGAAAGTGTGAACTGGCCACTGCTTCACTAAAATAGTCTCTTTGGAAAGTTGACATCCTAACAAAAAGAAATATTATTTATTGGCCAATGCATTGCCCTCAAAGAAGGCAGATAATTTCAACAAAAATCCTTTACTTGTTGCCAACATATTTGCAACTGATTTGTCTCCCAAAAAAAGCATAAAGATTATGTCCAGTGAATGTAGACTTTGAAAAATTACACAAATAGAATTTCAAGGGCCATTTGCTCATACTGGCACAGTAGAGTGTGTAAAAAAGTAGGATAGATAGAAAGGACTAATTCGGGACATACCGATGATACAAAAATGCCCTTATCCACGTTAGGGAATGAAGCATCTATCTTTTGAAGCACTATCTCTTAAGACATTCTTTCAACCTGCTAGAGATCAACTACTAGTGTACACACACGTTTTAACCCAACTTATATCATTTAACTTTCATCTCATAATGTAAAACATCATTTTCTGAATGTAACATAACACAAATGACAAGCTGACAATATTTTACAACAAATTACATCCTATTTTCCAATGCATGTGGAATAAAAATAGTAAGGATAAAATCAATAACATACCCATTTTTCTTGAAATGCTCTATAATTTTAGGCACAGAGTCGATTGGTACAGAAAAACTCAACCCATCAGCAACCATCATTTTCATGAGGTTCACACCAATAACTTCTCCGTCCATGTTGACAAGAGGTCCTCCAGAATTTCCCTATACCATAGAAGCAGATAAAAACACGCAAGCATACTGAATAAACATGCAGATGAAGATTTGGTCCGTACAACAAATGCAAACTATGTTGGGTACATTGGGAGCTTATGGGGAGAAAGAGAAGAAAATATACCACATTGATTGCACAATCTGTTTGTAAATACTCTCTTGGCGTGCCATTAAAACCCAAATCACTACTTTTCCAGTCAACACAACTATGCGAAAATCATACAAGACATAAATTTCATTAGTCAAAAAGAAAACCAGGAGCCCCTTTTTAAAACTTAATAAGCTTCATGGTCAAATAATAAGTTACTGCGCCAAACAACCATATAGCTTTAGCTTCCAAAATCTATTATATGAGATGGCAAAGTTTAAAACAAAAGAAAAAAGCTTAAAACAATGACCCATCTATTATTATCTGAAATTTTTTCTTCACACCTTACAATGCCCAAAGTGACAGTATTCTGAAGGGAATGCGTACAGCCCATGGCTATTACTAAATCCTCAGGACGAAGCGTACTTGAAGAACCAAGTTTTGCTTCTGGTAGTGGGGTTTCAGAATTGATCTTCACAATAGCAATATCTGAATGCATGTCAGCATTTACCACTTTACCCTGAAATGTCCTTCCATCTTGCAAAGTGACTTCAACCTGTACAATCAACCATTGGTTTTAAAACCCAAAAATGAGTGTCCATAGTCATACTTTGTCATATATACATCTGATGTCTTCATGCAGCCAAAATAGTGAAGAAAAAAAAAACAAAAAAAAAACCATTTTCTGTTAAACCCGACTAGCGAGTGTGGGATGGAGAAAATCTTTGTACGCAGCCCTACCCTTACATAATTGCAAAGAGGCTGTTTTCTGGATTCGAACCCATAACCTTTAAATCATGAAGGAATAGTTTTATCACTGCTCTGGTTAGCCCCTTGGAGCCAAAATAGTGAGAATGGGAAAAATGTTATTTATACAAAAAAAAAAAAAAAAACTCGCATATGAATAGTGTAAAATGATTTACAGGTAGAGATAATTTAATAAAGGGCTTTATGATTCTCACGTTACATGAGAAGGGAATTCTTATGTCAGAGATAAAAAATATATAGGACTCATATATTAGAAAAAATCATGTATGGAGCCCATATCAGCACGGAAATCGAAGGGTGTGTAGGAGAATTATAATTCTTATGTTACATGAGAATTATAAAACCCTTTAATAAAAGATTACACATTCAAGTTAAACCAACCATTCTGCCAAGTAAGCTAAAGCACAAAGCCTACGACTAAAGGAGTAACTCATCTGTCTGTCACTCTTTACACTCAATAATAAAATATCATATATGATTGCAAGGAGGTGTTGTGCTTGTGCAATACTAAGGTATGTGATAGGAACCCACCCATAAATAGGGTGTACGCCAGGGGGCACCATAGAGAATCAGGCTTATAAAAGGGTGACTAGATGGTTGATGATGCTATAACAGCTTCTGAGGAAGGAGTACATAAGAACAAGGAAGAGATAGAAGAGGTGCAACAATAACTGAGACAGAAATCGAAAGGGGGAGAGAATGGCCTCCAAAGCCGGATATCATTTTCTTTTCTGTACTTCTCCATACGCACGCCAACCAATGGCGTAGACACGTTATATTTAGGTAGGGCCTAGGCTCCGGCTATATTTTAACAAATTTTATTTATTATATAGAATTATATAAGTAATTATAATTGGGTCCTAGCTAAAATTATAAGTTGGCCCTAGCTAAAATTTTAACAATGGTAACAGACAAAGATTTAGAGTTGTGCTTTATTGCTTTCTTCTTCTTCTCTTTTTATCTTTTTTTAATTAGGGTTTTCTTTAAACCTTTTTTTCTTATTCACACTCACCACATGAAACCTAGCCATTCTGCGACAAGGTACGGTGTTTTGTTCCTTTCTCAAGATTTTAAGAATACATGTTCTCGGAATATGCATTGGTAATTATATTGTTCGCTCGGGGAAAAATTTGATTTATATTTTTAAACCTTGTAAAAGAGAATTTCTTTGTCTTTGCTGATCATAATTGTTTATTGGGTGTTTTTAACATGAGTGAAATTCATGCCCCTTTTGTTTTTTATTTACAACTTTTTGTGTGTGGTTGTATTTATTGAATTTATTTCTTTTGAAAAATGGAGTGTTATTTTACATTTATCTTTTTTTTAAAATATTATGTTAATATAGAGCTACTGTTGCTATTGGTAATGGAATTGAATTGTTTCTTAGTGTTATTTGTATTTGATTTCACAACAGGAATGAGAAATTTAGCTATTAACTAGTGAAAATTGCTAAGGAAAAAAACAATGAAGATATATGTATATATATGGAGTACAAAAATTTCTTGTACATATTCATTAACAAATTCTTTTTTTTTGTATTTTTAAAATGGCATTTACTTATCTCATGTTGTAAGAGAGAAGTTATCTTATGTTGTGAGATAAATTATGTGGAGCCCACCATTTTTTAAAAAAGAAAAAAAAGTGAGGCACATATTTTTATGTGAGTGTAACCTGAGAGATGAATCTTATGCAACATAAGAGTATAATTTCCCTTTTAAAATTTGTAAAATATCTAAACACTGATTAAATAATTTATGTGGATCCAATGTCATTTAAATGATTTTAGACATTTGTCACTAATTGTTCCATGTTTTTTTTCAGGGAAATATTTTTCTCATTTCGTTGGAGATAGCTCTCTCATGTTATACACTGATCGAATTTTGTGCTAGCTTTTTCCATTTCTTTTTGCTTTTGTTTTAAAGTGTGGACCCCATATATTTATCTCGCACACATGAGAGAACTATCTCGAGCAACATGAGATTAGTAACTCTCTTCTTTTGAATTGTGAAGTTTGTTGTCTCTCTACATTGATGTTCTTCACAGATCACAACTAAGGGTATAAATGGGCCAATTAAGGCCAAACTTTGGCTTTGATAACCTAAGCCTATGTAAAATATTTAGATCTTATATTGGCCTATTAGCCTATTAAAGACTTGATTTATAGGTCTGGCCTGACCTATTATAAAAAACTAAAAAACCTAATTCAACATATACGGCCTACCAAGTTGCAAACTAAGTTTATAGGCCCAACCAAATTAAAATATAAAAGATAAAACAATTATTCACAAAGATCACATGAAATAAATTTTCATTAACATCACATGAAATAAAATTCCATTAACTTCATATGAAATAATGTTCATAAAGATCACATGAAAATGTTCATAAAAATCACATGAAAATTTTATATATGTATATATACATATAATTTGCACTTTCTTCACTCAATTAATTTTATATTATATTTTAAATATTAAATAAATATTTATTATTTGTTAAAATAACATCAATCCTATATATATTATATTTTAAATTTTAAGTAAATTTTTTATAATAAATTTGTATAATTATAAAAATATTTTGATAATTTCATATGTCAAACTTTTGGCCCCGACTAAAATTAAATCCTGGCTCTGCCACTGACTCCACCGATATCATCATGATATTCAGTGAGCTTAATGCAAAAATCCATAGTTTCAGCTTTATTTTGTGTAATTTTACTTTGGGTTCTATCAGTGTGCCAAAGAATCATTTTCATTCAGTTGTGAAGGCAATCAAAACTAGTTGAATAACAATTTAGTAATACCCTATTTTGTTGGGAATGTACCAATGAATTTTCAAACCATGACTTCGAAAGTTCTGACTTACCCAAACCATATCCTAAGCCACCCTAGCTTTGTCTCACCCAAAGTCATAGAGCAAGCAACAATCGTAACACCTTCAACAGAAATCTATCAAAAAAATTCCTATAACTCTAACCTGAAGTTAGATTCATGTCAATGTACTCGAGACATATGTTTGAGAAACACCCATATTGTACAACATCTTATATTTGCATCACAGAGAGCTTTAATGTTACAGGTCTATGTTGGAAAGATATGACATAGCATGTACACAAACCTTCCCTTTGTAAAAACTTCTGGTGCCTTGAAAATCAACCACGACATGAGCACATGTCAAGATTGTACCATCCTTGTCGATGATGGTTCCCGATCCTATACTCCTTTTGGTAGTAATACCGTTCAAAACTACACGGTTGATGCCAAATCTTCAGAATAAACAAAAAGCGCATCAAGCACAAAACTTTTTAAGGTTAAAAAAGAACCCTAAATGTATACCTTGGGAAACCACAATAGTAACAACAGAAGGTCCAACTTTAGCAGCAGCATTTGCAATAGTATGTCTGCTAAAATAATCACTTGAATTTGACCTATCACCAACAGCCCCAGAAGTTTCCTCAAATATGTTCAGGACGATCGTCAACGTTCGTTAAGCTTCCACACTCTTCCCCAAAAAGACAACGATCAACGAGCAACGAAACGAAAACAAAGCAGAGTCTTGCTTTTCAAAATTCAAAACCGCGGGCTAAAGCTGAAATTAGTTAATGGGCACCGAAGCAACAACTTGATGCCTCTCTTTGGAGCAACGTAGTTCCACATCAGAAAAGGAACAGTTAAATTCATCTAACTAACTATAATGTTAAGATTATGACACGTGGATAAGTAAAACAGAATGAGGCATGTGTTGGTTACATTCTATTACGCTTTCCCGCTTTTAGCTTTTCTCTTTTTCTTTCTTAAAATGGTTGTATAACTACTGGAATGATGAATGAATGTGAATCAGAGTTCTCAGAAGGAATATTTCTTTTATGAAACTTAAGAGCCTCTGCTTACGTGTGTTTATACTTTATACAAATATAATTGGAGTATGAATGAATGTAAATAAAAGGTATGAATGAATGTATGAATGAATGTATGAATGTTTTTGAGAAAGCTCTTCAATTGATGCACAAGAAAGAATCCTAATCTTGAAAATATAATTCTCTCTTCTATTTCTCGTATTTTCTCCACACTGAAATAATATGCAATGAGCCCTATTTATAATAATAACATCTTAATCTATTATGCATTGAAATCCTAATCAAATCTTTGGCATTTTATTTCTCTTACATGAAATCAAAAAAGATAAAATCTTTCCTAATCTTTACTTTATTCCATGCTTTTATATCTCTTCATGATATCTTCCATATCTTCTCCAATCTTTATGGAATCTTCAATTATCTTGAATATTGATCCCATGATATCTTTCATATCTTTTTCAATTTTCATGCAACCTTCAATTATCTTGAATATCAAATCAGAATAAATATTATTCTGATATCTCAAACAATCAGCTCATTAGTAATTTCAAGACAATAAAATATTATCAATTTAATTAACATTAAATTGATTGTAATCATCAAACATATTTTAAATCAATTCACCAATTGGGGTATAACAAATATCCAACAGGATTACATAAGAACAGGGATGAGATAGAATAGGGGTAACAATAATTGTGACAGAAATAGAAAGGGGAAAGAATGGCCTCCAAAGCCGGATATCATTTTCTTTTCTGTACTTCCCCATTCGCACGCCACCGAAATCATCACGATATTCAGTGAGCTTAATGCAAAAATCCATAGTTTCAGCTTTATTTTGTGTAATTTTACTTTGGGTTCTATCAGTGTGCCAAAGAATCATTTCCATTCAGTTGTGAAGGCAATCAAAACTAGTTGAATAACAATTTAGTAATACCCTATTTTGTTGGGAATGGACCAATGAATTTTCAAACCATGACTTAGAAAGTTCTGACTTACCCAAACCATATCCTAAGCCACCCTAGCTTTGTCTCACCCAAAGTCATAGAGCAAGGAACAATCGTAACACCTTCAACAGAAATCTATCAAAAAAATTCCTATAACTCTAACCTGAAGTTAGATTCATGTCAATGTACTCGAGACATATGTTTGAGAAACACCCATATTGTACAAGATCTCAAATTTGCATCACATAAAGCTTTAATGTTACAAGTCTATGTTGGAAAGATATGACTTAGCATGTACACAAACCTTCCCTTTGTAAAAACTTCTGGTTCCTTGAAAATCAACCACGACATGAGCACATGTCAAGATTGTACCATCCTTGTCGATGATGGTTCCCGATCCTATACTCCTTTTGGTAGTAATACCATTCAAATCTACACGGCTGATGCCTAATCTTCAGAATAAACTAAAAGGGCATTAAAGCACAAAACTTTTTAAGGTTAAAAAAGAACCTTAAATTACCTTGGGAAACCACAATAGTAACAACGGAAGGTCCAACTTTAGCAGCAGCATTTGCAATAGTATGTCTGCCAAAATAATCACTTGAATTTGACCCATCACCAACAGCTACAGAAGTTTCCTCAGATATGTTCATGACGATCGTCAACGTTCGTTAAGCTTCCACACTCTTCCCCACAAAGACAAAGATCAACGAGCAACGAAACGAAAACAAAGCAGAGTCTTGCTTTTCAAAATTCAAAACCGCGGGCTAAAGCTGAAATTAGTTAATGGGCACCGCAGCAACAACTTGATGCTTCTCTTTGGAGCAACGTAGTTCCACATCAGAAAAGGAACAATTTAATTCATATAACTAACTATAATGTTAAGATTATGACACGTGGATAAGTAAAACAGAATGAGGCATGTGTTGGTTACATTCTATTACGCTTTCCCGCTTTTAGCTTTTCTCTTTTTCTTTCTTACAATGGTTGTATAACTACTGGAATGATGAATGAATGTGAATCAGAGTTCTCAGAAGGAATATTTCTTTTATGAAACTTAAGAGCCTCTGCTTACGAGTGTTTATACTTTATACAAATATAATTAGAGTATGAATGAATGTAAATAAAGGGTATGAATGAATGTATGAATGTTTTTGAGAAAGCTCTTCAATTGATGCACAAGAAAGAATCCTAATCTTGAAAATATAATTCTCTCTTTTCTTTCTTGTATTTTCTTCACACAGAAATAATATGCAATGAGCCCTATTTATAATAATAACATCTTAATCTATTACGCAATGCAATCCTAATCAAATCTTTGGCATTTTATTTCTCTTACATGAAATCTAAAAAGATAAAATCTTTCCTAATATTTACTTGATTCCATGCTTTTATATCTCTTCATGATATCTTCCATATCTTCTCCAATTTTTATGCAATATTCAATTATCTTGAATATCGATCCCATGATATCTTCCATAACTTCTTCAATTTCCATGCAATCTTCAATTATCTTGAGTACTATTTCAAATCAGAATAAATATTATTCTGAAATCTCAAACAATCAGCTCATTTGTAATTTCAAGACAATAAAATATTTTCAATTTAATTAACATTAAATTGATTGTAATCATCAAAACACATTTTAAATCAATTAAACAATTGGAGTATAACAAATATCCAACAGTAGTACATAAGAACAGGGAAGAGATAGAAGAGGGGTAACAATAGCTGAGACAGATATCGAAAGAGGAGAGAATGGCATCCAAAGCCGGATATCTTTTTCTTTTATGTGCTTCTCCATACGCACGCCACCGATATCATCATGATATTTGTAAGCTTAATGCAAAAATCCATAGTTTCAACTCTATTTTGTGTAATTTTACTTTGGGTTCTATCAGTGTGCCGAAGAATCATTTCCATTCAGTTGTGTAGGCAATCAAAACTAATTGAATAACTATTTAGTAATACCCTATTTTGTTGGGAACGGACCAATGAATTTTCAAACCATGACAGAAAGTTCTGACTTACCCAAACCATATCCTAAGCCACCCTAGCTTTGTCTCACCCAAAGTCATAGAGCAAGCAACAATCGTAACACCTTCAACAGAAATCTATCAAAAAAATTCCTATAACTCTAACCTGAAGTTAGATTCATGTCAATGTACTCGAGATATATGTTTGAGAAACATCCGTATTGTACAAGATCTCAAATTTGCATCACAGAAAGCTTTAATGTTACAAGTCTATGTTGGAAAGATATGACTTAGCATGTACACAAACCTTCCCTTTGTAAAAACTTCTGGTGCCTTGAAAATCAACCACGACATGAGCACATGTCAAGATTGTACCATCCTTGTCGATGATGGTTCCCGATCCTATACTCCTTTTGGTAGTAATACCATTCAAATCTACACGGTTGATGCCTAATCTTCAGAATAAACTAAAAGGGCATAAAAGCACAATACTTTTTAAGGTTAAAAAAGAACCCTAAATGTATACCTTGGGAAACCACAATAGTAACAACGGAAGGTCCAACTTTAGCAGCAGCATTTGCAATAGTAAGTCTGACCAAATAATCACTTGAATTTGACTCATCACCAACAGCCCCCAGAAGTTTCCTCATATATGTTCATGACGATCGTCAACGTTCGTTAAACTTCCACACTCTTCCCCACAAAGACAACGATCAACGAGCAACGAAATGAAAACAAAGCAGAGTCTTGCTTTTCAAAATTCAAAACCGCGGGCTAAAGCTGAAATTAGTTAATGGGCACCGAAGCAACAACTTGATGCCTCTCTTTGGAGCAACGTAGTTCTAAATCAGAAAAGGAACAATTTAATTCATATAACTAACTATAATGTTAAGATTATGACACGTGGATAAGTAAAAAAGAATGAGGCATGTGTTGGTTACATTCTATTACGTTTTCCCGCATTTAGCTTTTCTCTTTTTCTTTCTTACAATGGTTGTATAAATACTGGAAGGATGAATGAATGTGAATCAGAGTTCTCATAACGACTATTTCTTTTATGAAACTTAAGAGCCTCTCCTTACGAGTGTTTATACTTTATACAAATATAATTGGGGTATGAATGAATGTAAATAATTGGTATGAATGAATGTATGAATGTTCTTGAGAGAGCTCTTCAATTGATGCACAAGAAAGAATCCTAATATTAAAAATATAATTTTCTATTTTCTTTCTTGTATATTCTTCTCTCTTCTATTTCTCGTATTTTCTCCACACTGAAATAATATGCAATGAGCTCTATTTATAATAATAACATCTTAATCTATTATGCAATGCAATCCTAATCAAATCTTTGGCATTTTATTTCTCTTACATGAAATCTTAAAAGATAAAATCTTTCCTAATCTTTACTTGATTCCATGCTTTTATATCTCTTCATGATATCTTCCATATCTTCTCCAATCTTTATGGAATCTTTAATTATCTTGAATATTGATCCCATGATATCTTTCATAT